CATTGACTTTATAGACTCTTTTAGCGATTACCTATTTTAGAACAACTATGGTCTTTTGTTTTTATAGATGATATCACAAATCTTTTAATATTAGATTCTTATAATTTTATATTTGTGATAATGGATTATTTTATCAAAATATCACATTTTATACCAAGTACAAAATCTATCATAAATGAAGAAACAACTAAACTTTTCATTGACAACATCTATTGTTATCATGGATTGCTTAAGGATATTATATTGGATAAGAAGACTCAATTTGTATTAAGATTTTAAAGAATATTTTTTAAGATTCTAAAGATAGATTAAAAGCTATCTTTGATTTTTTATCCTCAAATCAATAAACAAATAAAGTACATAAATCAAGTTTTGGAATAATATTTGACATATACCATCAATTATTATTAAGATGATTGGACAAATTTTTTACCATTAGGAAAGTTTACTTATAATAATATGATATATTTTCAATATAATAAACATGTTTTATACTAATTATAATTATCATCTATGACTTAATATTTTTGACCTTTTAAAAGTTGAAAATCCTTTAGCAAAAGATTTAGTAAATTACTTATTTGAATTATATACAATAATAAAGGCATAATTATAAGAAGCTTAAAAATGACAAAAAATTGACACAAATATTTATTGTAAGGTGCAAATTTATTCTACATTGGCAATAAGGTATAGTTACTTCATTTTAATATCAAGATTAGTAACTTTTGTGGTAAGTTGGATTACTATAGGCATAAACTATTTCTTATTTGTAAATAAATCAATTTTGTTGCTTATTGATTACATCTATTGGAGTTTATGAAGATCCATTATATATATTCTATTTCTCTCTTTTTGAATCGAATAAAATAAAAAATATCTTAAAAAGAAGACAAATGCCATATCATCTTGTAAAAATAGATAATAATCAAGAGTTTGAAGTAGAAGAAGTCTTACACTCAAGGCAGTACTGAAATAGGATGTAATATCTTATTCATTGGCACAAATATGATATTAATGAACGCACATGGGAGCATGCAAGGAATTTTAAAAATGCAACAAAAAATATTGATGTTTTTTTTATTAACAATATCTATCAAAATCAAGATGAAAAATAACAAATCTTTGTTATAAAAGAGACTTGATTTAACAAAGATGGCATTTTATTTTCTATCTTTTTTTGTAATTTTTATATATTTGTGGCATTTAGGAAATAGAGAACCAACAACTAGCAAATTCAACTCAAAAGTAATTATCTATTAACTTATTAGATAAGACATTATGATTGTTATTGCCTTTAAGACTACGTAATAGAGATGAAGATCTTCAAGAACGACATATTCTTCTTTAAATAGATGGCAAGATACAAAGTCTTTGATATCACGACCTTCAAAGAGACTCTTGATGTTTGGTGATTTTATTAGAAGTAGGAATGACTTATGATAGTCTTACAAATATTTTTTTTAAAAGTAGTTATAAAGGCTTCAACAACAATCAAATAACCATGTGGTCTTTTTGTTGTTGTCATATTATATAAAGTCTTACTTAAAAATGTATTAGGCACCTAATTGTAGAGAGTAAAAAAATTACAACAATAAGTCCTAAAATATTTAATAGAATCATATATAAAATACAATTAAAGCTCAAAAAATATAATCAAACATTAATCAAGTCCAATTAAATTTCTTAAAAATCATAAAAGAAACACAAAAAAATCTCAAACCTTAAATCATTCTTAATTAGATCCTAAATCCTAATTAGATCTTAAATCCTAAATTCTAAATTAAATCTTAATCAAATCTTAAATTCTCAATCAAATTTTAATTAATACTTAAATAAATCCTAACCAAATTCTAATCAATTTGAACCAATCATAGGGCAATTTTAAGATCTCAATATCTATTGAATAAATCATTGATCTTACTTAAAATTTTATACATATCTTAATTTCTTAGTTAACAATAAGTACAAAAAATTTAAAAAGAATCAAATTTGTAAAATAGGATAAAAACATTATAATCCGCTTAGGTGTTGGCCAACCTCCATCTTTGATTTTAATATTGATCTTCTAGTAGCAATAACTCTTAATTAAACTATTAACTTGCTTTCAAATTTTGCATAAGTGTTGGAAGTCAAGTCAACTATTAGCTCCAATAAAAATCACATTGATTCAACTAGTGAATCATTGCAACTCTTAGATGACCTTACTAGACCTAAAAATCCAATTTCTAAGATCCTAACCCATTTAAACTTCAATAACCTGCAATGCAACTATTTGATTAAATTCAAATTTACAACATACGTTTAGCACAACTATAATTACAACCCTTCAAAATTTTATTTATAGATCTACTTCAAAACTCATAAAATTATCCAAATTGTAAACCTTATTTTATTTCTCAAAATTCAAAATCACCCAAAATAACCTTAATCTTGCAAAACTCTTACAAAAGTCATTACAAATTTAAATTGCTTAAAACCAATGCTCTGAAAAATCTTATAAAGTATTCTTCCAAATTCCACTTTTTGATTTACAAAAGAATCCTGGAATCACTATAGATATGCAATTTTGTGCCTTGGCATCTGATTTTGATCTAGGTTGACAATTAGTCCTCTATAGGTATCATTTTTTGCCTTCTTGAGATAATTTTTGCTAAAATCAACTCCTAACTTCCTCTTAATGCTTATATCCTTCATTTTTCTAATCTACCTTATTTTGCCTTATTTAAGGATCTACAAAGTAAGTAGAAGCCGACTTTGTAAAAAGGCAGTATTTTCACTTTTAATTTACTATCTTTTGACTATTATCTATGTTTTTAAGATGATTTATTATAATATTTTAAAATAAGATCTTCTAAACTATAATATTTTTTCACTCTTTTATCTATTAGTAATTTTACATCATGACACTATAAAATAGAACATTATTAATGGCTAATAGGACCTTTCAACTAGCTTCAAAAGAAATAAAGATCAAAGTAAGCACATGCAATTTATTGTATCTTGGATTCCATCATTATATAATCATTGCTCTTTATACAACATGTTCCTAAACTTTTCTACAAGTTATTATCAAGTTTATCTAAAAGCTTCATAGACATGGCTTTGACTTTACACATAATTGTAGTTGATTGGTAGGTTAAAAACCTGGCCAATAAATTAGCCACATGTTGCATGTGTTGGTAATTTGTAGTACAAGCTAATTCTGTGTTGCACATATAAAAAACATATCTTGCAAATTAAGATACATGTCTTGCAAGTTGGATGTATATTGGAGGTCTTATAGAATGTCTTTATATAACTCTTAGTTGGATAGCATATATGAAGGCAAGAATAAAGCCTTCTTCACTCTTGTCAATGTCTTTCTAGTTCTTAGTCTTATTTCAATAGCTATTTTAGTTTAAAATTATACCATCTTTGAGTAATTTTCTAGTCTTTTTGAATGACACAAGAGTGTATTAATCTTTTAGTCTTTTGATATTCATATCCTTGACAAAAAGTATAGTCTTTAAAAGAAATAGATGTGAAGATAAAGAAAAAAAAATTAATCACTTATTTATCTTTAATTGCTATATTTATTTAAATTAAAATATAATTGAATGATGTTTTATTGGCTTTAATAATTTTATGAAATAAAAATTTAATTTTATACTAAAAGCTTAGTTTTTGTGGTTTTTCAATTCTTTTTTAAAATCTAATTAATACTTTAAATAAGATGTTAAATTAGATAAATTTCTTGCTATTTATTTTAAATTAAAACTATAATGAATAAAAACTTCTTGATTTTATGTCTTTAATATTCAATATTTAGTTAACTAATTTATGATTAGAAAGCTTAAGATTTATTTTATGTAGTCTCTTGCTTTTGTGAGTTTCAATGTAAAATTTCTTGAATAGAAGTCTCTTAAAATTAGATTTTTTTTTAATGAACTACACACCATTTAATTTAAAATTAAGATTAATTCTTATATAAATTTAATTAAAGACTAAAGTATTACTTTAGCAATAATAATTACTCCAATTTAGAAGAGTAATTTTTAATACAAAAATGGGATCATTTCAAATTTTAGTATGATTAAAAAGAATGTAAAATTGGACTCAAATAAGCCAAAATTAATCAATTTTAGAATAAAAAATTAATAAAGATAATTAATCCAATGGATAAAGATCCTTGAGCTAATAACATGGTTAAAAGCAAAAACACCTTACTTCCCTTGATGCATAATTTTTTTAGCCACCATGTTTATATTAAATAATTTAGTTTTGGAATGATTTCAATAAAAATTGAAGTTGCATTACAAATAAAATTATTTTTGACTATTACCAACTATTTCTATTTACACTTAATTTAGATGGTTTCTTTCATTACTTTTATTTATCTTTAAAGCCATTTTTTTCTTAATTTGAATCATTTGTCTAAGTAAACAAATAGACTTGAATAAATTAAGTCAAACAATGAAAATTTAATTAAAACATAAAACTAAAATCTAAAATGATAATAATAAATTAATATAATATTTTTATATTAAAATTTATTAATATTTTCTTATACATAGAAGTAAGCCAAAACTAGAATATTAGATTTAAATGCAACTTAATATTAAAAAACCTGTATTGAATAATTCTACTTTAGAATGATTTAACTTAATTTAGGTATTCAATTATGTAATTATTGGGGGGGGGGACAGCCCCAACAACGAAGAAGTGGAACAACACATGTGGCCATCATCCCAATAAATCTTGAAAGCCACTCACTGACAGGGTGGACAGGTAACAACACACCACAAAAGGCTCGTATACAGAGATTCCCACGGTAGTCTCTGCGTAATTCAAAGGGAATCCAAGTTGGGTGACGAAGCCCTTCTTCCAACTACAACAACATCAACAACAGGGTAGAAAAAGCTAAATTCGAGGCCAGGGAGCGTCACTATTCCAGTTGCAGAGAATGAATGAATAGCTAGCTAGGGGCTATTCCCTTTCCAGTGCCCTCCCTCCCCACCCACATGAACCCGCGCCAAGAATGAAGGCACTACCACTCTCAACGGGCCCAGGCTCAGGCTCATGCTCAGGCACGCCGCAGGCCTAGGCACGATGTGAAAGTGTAAGCGTGTGATTTCACACTCTCTCTCTCTCTCTCTCTCTCTCACACACACACACACACACATTCACACACGAGGGCACCAGGAAGAAGAAAGGCCCTAGAGGGTCAAGGCAGGGCAGGGCAGGAAGGGAGCGAGAGAGAGAGAGTTTGGATCTGCGTTGATCAAGAGTTGCAGTGTTGCGTTGCTATTTTCCTAGCTTTTGTTTTTTTTGTTTTGTTTTGTTTTGTTTTGTTTTTTTTCAGTTACAGCACGACAAGCACGCAAGCACAGTGGTAGGACTCCGCATACCCAGGAATTTCTAGTGGTACTCTGGTACCGTTGTAGCAGTGTTGGTCGAGTGGGTCAGGTGGTGCGCGTGGATGCAGAGCTGGGATAGAGGCTTGGAGTGCATGAGATCCGGGCAGGCAGGCGATGGAGGTGGATGTGGGGGTGGCGACGACATTGTGGCTGTGTGGCCGTCCTACGGGCGGGAGTCGGAGCCCCTTCTTCCCTTATGTTTGTGTGTGTTAGGGCTCCGGTGATTTTGGTTGGGCTGTGAGGATTGAGTGCACGAGGAAAAGTCGGAAGGTAGCTGGATCGGGTGATGGTTTTTGGTAACTATAGCAGGAACAGAAGGTTGCTCTCCCACAAGGAGCTTCGACGACATAGCAAGTGCCTCTGAGGTAGCAGGCGAGGTTGAATTGGGCGTTTAGGAGGAGGAAGAGGGGGAGCATATGTGAGTGTGGGTGCGGGAGAGGCATGTGTTTAGGAGGCTGGGCACTGTCGATGGGGCAGGTGGCGTGGGCATCCAGATGTGGGGAGCGCTGACTTGAGTAGGTAGGGGAAGGCCAGGAACGGAGGAAGCGGTAGCGAGGTGTTGTGATTACCATTCCAGGTGTAGGACTTCTGCAGAGATGGGCTGTTTCCCATGCTTCGATTCTAAACCAAAGGAGAGGACGTCGCTGAAGAAGAATGCCTACAACAGCAGCCAGCGTGATGGACAATCGCCAGCTGATAATCCCACCCCGCAAATTTCCAAGCTTACCTCGGGTGAGTGTGGTGCATTCGGAATGTAAGTTGTAGGAGCGTGGAATGTGGAAACGGTAATATGACGATTTAGTGGGTACGGCGCACATTGATCCGGTGAAGCATGACCTTAATGGCAAAGTGTTAGAGTAGTGGCGGGTCATGGGACAGTTTGGTAGGGGCTGTTGGACTGCATTCCAGGAGGTGACACAGGTATCGTCCCTGTGAAGTTTGGATGCATCTGCTTGTGGCGGCGGTGGTGGGGTTTCTGGCGTAGCGGAGGGCCTTGAGTCATGCGAGTGAATGATGGCGGCTTTGAGAGCGAATGTGAGGCCCTGAAGGAAGGAAAGTTTGATCCTTTGAGGCGGGTGAGGAGCGGAAGAGGCAAGTGTGCAGGTGGTTAGGGCGATGGATTGAGCGGAGATAGAGAAGGGTGAGGTAATACTGTAGGGTTGAGCTGCTGCCTTGCAAGGTGCGAGGCAGCAAAGGAAGGAATGGTAATGTAATGTGCGGGTTCATGGTTGGTGAGTTTTTAAGTTCTAGGAACGAGGGGGAGATGGTCTAAATTCGGTTGCTTGTGTGGGTGGAATGTTGCTATTTACCCATTGTTAGGTTCGATGATGACGCGTTTGGGGTAATTGGCGTTGTTGCGTGCTGAGCGTGGCAGGTAACTCGAAGAAGTTCGAAACGAATGAGTCTTTCGACAAGAAGGAGCCGGTGCGTGAAGAGAGCACGCCAATCGACGCGCACACGTTCACGTTTCGGGAGCTAGCTGTGGCGACGAAGAATTTCAGACCGGAGTGTCTGTTGGGCGAGGGAGGCTTCGGCCGTGTGTACAAGGGACGCCTGGAGAATACCGGGCAGGCAAGTGAAAGGATGTGATTAGTTGCGTAGAGTGGAGTGGAGTGGTTTGCAATGAAATTGAAGGGCATGGTGGGCGAGATGAGCGGCGTGATGGTTTTGGAGGTTCAGTTTTTAGTGAGACGCAATGGGGACGGGGAGAAGAATTCGCATTTGTGTATCAAAACTAGAAAGCAGTGGAAATAGAAGGGGACAATTTTGGCTGAGGGGTCGGAATTGGTGGTTGCAGGAGGTGGCCGTGAAGCAGCTGGATCGACGCGGGCTGCAAGGGAACCGAGAGTTTCTGGTGGAAGTGTTAATGCTGAGTCTATTGCATCATACGAATCTTGTAAATCTAATTGGTTACTGCGCTGATGGCCAGCAACGGCTGCTAGTGTACGAGTTTATGCCGTTGGGGTGCTTGGAAGACCATCTGCATGGTAAGTGAAGCGGAGTGGATCGTAGGATGGTGATAGGGGTTGGCAGGGACGTGAAGTGGTCGTTGACGTGGTGGTGGGGACCATTGTGGCTTTCGCAGGCCTGCCCCAGAACAAGGAGTGCCTGGACTGGAACACTCGTATGAAGATCGCGGTTGGAGCAGCTCGGGGTCTGGAGTACCTACACGACAAGGCGGAACCCCCTGTAATTTATCGGGACTTAAAGAGTTCGAACATATTGCTGGGTGAGGGGTTCCACCCGAAGCTGTCGGACTTCGGCCTTGCGAAGCTAGGTCCGGTGGGGGACAAGACGCATGTGTCCACACGGGTGATGGGGACCTACGGGTACTGCGCTCCGGAGTACGCGATGACGGGGCAGCTGACGCTGAAGTCGGACGTGTACAGCTTCGGCGTGGTGCTGCTGGAGCTGATCACTGGGCGGAAGGCGATTGACGAATCTCGGGGGCCCGGGGAGCACAACCTCGTAGCATGGGTAAGTGGACTGCGGTGGGCCTTGGGGGATGGGTGGGAGGCTGAGTGGAGCATGGTTTCGGGACTTCATGTGTAATTCTATGGAGCAGGGGTGGATGTGGGTGGAGAATATGGATGTGCCTTAATTATTCTGCGTACACGCAGTAAAGGGTATAATTATTGGTGTGGAATGCTCTCTGGGTTGGAGTGTAGGGGCTGTTGAGATGATGGGCTAACTTAAATAGCGAGAATGGGGTTGGTAGTCTAGCGTAGGGAGTCATTGAAGAAGTGTGGTTTTGGTGATTTGCGCGTTGACATCGATGCAATCTGAGTGGATAAATTAGGGAATGTACGGGTTGTTTGGGAGTTGGCTTTATCCAGGAATGCTTTGGAGTTGACAGTCAGTCGTTTTGGAGTGGTGATACAGGCTCGGCCCATGTTCAAGGACAAAAGGAAGTTTCAGTCCATGGCAGATCCAATGCTACAAGGGCGGTATCCGATCCGTGGGCTGAATCAAGCTTTGGCAGTAGCGGCGATGTGCTTGCAGGAGCAGGCAGCGACGCGGCCACTGATCGCCGACGTGGTGACTGCGTTAAGTTACCTAGCGTCTCAGATTTACAATCCTGGGGTGCACCCGTTGGGATCATCACGGTTCGCACCGGCAACGCCATCTCACGAGAAACCACACAAGGAGAAGAAGGCACCGCCGGGTCCAAACGCACTGGAGGAGCGGATGCTGAAGGAGCAGAGAGCTGGGAAGGTTGCTCCCTGGTCGCCATCGCAACGGTCGCAAACAGCGTCGCTAGACTTGCGGGTGAAGGGATCGATGGGGGCTCGAGCTCGGGTGGTGAATGGGATGATGCTGGAATCACAAGAGTCACAGGGCTCCCAAGGATCACAAGCCTTGGAGGAGTGGGAGAGGCGCAGCAGCGTGGGGAGGCGCGACAGTCCCAAACATCATGCCGCTCCTGCTGCGAGAACGGGCCGGGACGGAGGGATGCAGCCCCATGCTCCCACCCGTGAACGCGAGCGGGCGGTGGCCGAGGCACGGGTATGGGGGGAGAACTGGCGGGATCGGCAAAGGGGCCCGACTTAGTAAGAAACGAGAGGGAGGTTAGTAGGCACGCACGTAGGTAGGTAGGTAGGTAGGTAAGTAAGTAAGTGAGGAAGTGTTGGGGTGGTGATGAAGTAGGTAGATAGATTAGATGTGGGGCACTACTTTTGTGGTGTTGGGATTGAATTACTACCATCAAGCATGGATGCCTCATGCACACACTCTTGGGGAAGGAATCAGCATGGATGGTTGAGTATGGTGTATCAACATGGGCATCAAGAGTTGCAGCTCTAGACAAACCAACAAACAAACAAACAAGCAAACAGGCCAACAAAAAAGAAACATGGAATAAATTGAATTCCAACCTTGTTTTGTAAGACCTTAGCCATGGTGTGGTGGTGGTGGGTGTCAAGCTTTTAAGTTTGGATGCTCAATGTTTTGGCCAAATGGGGTCATTGGGACTGCCATTGTTTGATGTTGATCTTGTGTTGTTTGGTTTTTTTATTTTTATTTTTATTTTTATTTTTTACTGTGTACATATAGTATGAGTGACTGTCACAAGGATGCCACTTAGTAGGGTTGGGATGTTCCTTTTGCTACTTTTAGTAGAGGGAGTACTTTTTTGAGGGTTGGTTTTGTTTTGAGCAATTATTTGTGTGTTGGTTAAATCTTTTTTAATCTTGTTTTGTTTTGGTGTAGCATTCCAATTTTATGATTTTGTTGTGGTTTTTAAGTTTTACACATCTATATTTTGGCAAGGATGTTAAATGTCTTTGCTTGAATCTCAAACTTTTAGTGTACAGATGCAAATATGTACAGTCTTGGTGGCCTAAAATGCAAGATTAGATAGTTGTATTTTTCCTAATTGTAAATGGAAAATACTGTCTTATTAGAGATAGAATTAAAAAGTTATGTTAATTGAAAATTTATAATAATTAGATGTCATGTAGATTCTAAAAGTACTTACTATTCATGAAGTCAAAATTTTCTCATATCATGTTATATTGAAATATACAATTATTTTATTAATATTTTTTTACATTTAAATAGTTATAGATTCTTTTATTGTACAAATTTAACATATATAAAACTATGAAGGATTTCAAAGTTGGTTGAGTGATTTTTCTAAAAAATATTATGTTTAAGTTTTTTTGCATGTATGAAGATAGGATGGTAGAAAAAACATGAACAATGAATTTCATAGAAAGTATTATAAAATAGAAATAGGTTTTTGTGTACATCTTTATAAAATGTTTTAAAATATTCTACAACATTTAAGGGCATTTTTTTTGATAGGCTCATATAAGATACAACAAGATTAAAACCTATATTATATTTATTAAACTTATAGTAGACCTACTTTAATAAGACTTAGTTATAGAATGGGATATAAAATATTCTATTTGACTTGATAAGATTAAAATCTTAAGCATTCTATCTTCTATAACTTCTATAGTCTTACAACAGAATTGCTTAATTTAAGCAATTTACAATTTCTAATAGGCAATTGCAATGTATTAAAATATTTTTAATTAAAATGCATTATGTATCATAAAAATAAAGTTAAAAGACTTTTTGCAACATATAATAAGATTTAAAATTTCACAACCTTAAATACAATCAAAATTTTAAATTGATATATTATAATATAATATTTAAAAAACACTTTAATAAAAAGCCATCTAATTATTCTATAATTTTTTTAAAATTCTAAGTTGACATGTTTATTAATATTATCTAAATTGGAGTAAGTTAAATGTGATTATCTGTACTTTGGAGGGATTCCAATAATTTTCCATCTATTTCATTCATTTGAATAACATAAAAATTGTATTTATTTTTTATTTTTATTTTTTTAATATTGTGAACTTTCAAGCACCTATTTGAATTCTTTTTTTATCAACCATTAAATCATATTTATCTATTTTAAAGTTTTAATGATTATTTATATATAAATATTAAAGATTTTATTTTTTATATTTTAAATAAGCAAACAACTTTATCTCTTCTTCTTGGTATCTACTTTTAAAGTATCACTTATATTTCTTTAGAATATTCAATGTGTTTTAGAAGTTCAAAAGTGTTTATGTATAGTTAGAAATTTTTGAAATTAGTTGAAAGATCTAACTTGAAGATGGAAGAAAAGAAACAAGATTGTAATATAAAAGAGGTTATGATATTCTCTAAAAACATGACTACTTGCATATAATCTTCATCTTACACTATACAATCTATTGTCAAATGTAAAGGTAAATACAACATGTCTTTTGATAATGTTGTCATTTATATGTAATTAAATGATTTAGATGTCATTGAGGTTGTATATTAGGTAACAAATAATAAATCTATTTTGATAATGTTGTCATTTATATGTAATTAAATTATTTATATTTAGATGTCATTGAGGTTGTACATTAGGTAACAAATAATAAATCTATTAGAGTTTGAAATAAGTAGTAGATGTAAGGCTAGATAGAACTTGTTATTTGTTCTTAATAGATATGTACTATAAAAGTAGTTTTAGTTTAAAACTTATCATTTATTTAGTTTTAGTCTATAAAATAAATCTAAACATTCCAAATTATAGTTGATAAGAAGGCTTTGCAAATATAAGATGGAAATATAGAAATGATTAGTATGTTGGTTTTTAAAAAATCAAAAGAAATAATATTTGGTTATTTTAAAGATATTAGATGTATTCATTAAGTCTAGATGTTAAAATTGGTGACTTTAATTTATAAAATTAGAATCAAGAACAATTTGATAAAGATAGTATTTGAGCTGGTCAACCATTAAGACTAAAATTATTGAATATGAGGCCAACATGTTGGAAAATAGACAAACAAAAGAAAAATGAAAGTGGTATTCACCTTAAAGAAATAAATTCCTTTGTATGTACAAAGATCTAATTTAATAAAATAAGTTTTTGTAAAGTGGATCTTGTATTAGTATTGTAGCACATATAAGCATAGTAGTTTGGTATTAAAGTCAATTTAGTGTTATTGTGCTTAAATACAACATTAGATTTTAAATTTTATTTGCAATAAAAAAATACATATAAATTATTTTTTAAAAATTATAAAATTATAAATTTTTTAAAAAATATATTTAGAGGCAAGTTTTATATATGTGTAGATATAGTCGTATGAAGCGCTGAAGAGATGTATATGGTGATTTGGATTGATAAAAAAAGCCAATAAAATATATTTTTGTAATATTTGGCAAGCACTAAAATGATTCTATGATCTTATAAATTTAGATAAAAAGAATTATTAGTATTGGTATAACCAACTGAATTTGAATTATACATGGTTGTTATGTACAAAAGAATGTGATATTGTGTAGGAACTTCATTAATGTAATGTAGTATACTTGAACATAAGTGCTAAGATATGTGGAAAATTTGTAATTGGTGAAGGAAGTAGTTTGAATTGTAATAATGCCTAAACACAAGCTACTTGTTTGTAAGAGATTGCATGAATTGGTGCTATTGTGTGGTCAAAATTGTAATGGTGGATACTTGTTTTAGTGCATGTAGTAGAAATTTGCTTTTGGTAGAATTTCCTTATGTAAAAATAAATTGATGTTATATGGTAGTGTGGATAACTTGTTTTCTTTATTTAAGAAGCTATAGATTTGTAATTAAAAACTCCAATAATAGTAATGTCTTTACATTAATTTATTTAATATCTGATAGTGGTTTGAAAAGTATAGTAATTTGATTATATTACAATATGATAATATAATCATGAAAGTTGACAAGTAAGAATTGCATTTAATTAATTTGTGGAGAAAGAAGAAAAAAAAAATGTATTGTTTTAATATATAGATATGATTTTTTGAAACAATTGGTGAAGCAAAAACATCATCATTTGATGAACTAAGTAAACAATTTAATAATACTGAATTTTCATCTTAATTATTTATCTAATGATTTATAATATATAAAAAATGAAACATTAAAGGAGCTGCTAAGTGGACACCTCTCTTGTACTATGTGGACACCCTCTCTCTGTGTAACACATCCCCACATACACATAGTAATATCATCATCATATCATTGTTTTATATTATATGGCCTTGTCTTTTTTCAAAATTAATGCCCAATTTCTCTAAACTCTCTACAACGCTTTCTTTTCCCATAGTAGTATTAATTGTAAGATTTTTTTATTTTTATTTTTTGTGTTAAATTTTTCTTTAACCACTGGGGAGGGCAAAAGCATGAAATATAAAATAATATTAATATGACAACAATAATATTGTGTGTATGTGGAGGTGCAAGGCAGAAGGGATGTCTACAGAGTATAAGAGAGGTGTCCACCAAGGAATTCCCAACATTAAAACAAAAATATTGATCCGTATTTTGGATTGGTTTTAAAGCCACTCTTTAATATTAAAGGTGTTTTTGTGATGCCAACTCTAGAAGATGAAGACACCTTTGTTGTGACATATGTCCACAAATTTTGTGTTGGCTTGGTAGTTTGGAGGAAGCTTGAACAATGTGGAGCATGGTCCTAGGCAATGTATGTGCTAATAGTAGACTTATATGATGTTGGATCAAATCACTGAAGTGTATAGATTTAATAGAAAAAAAAATTCTAAAAGTAAATTAGATGTATAGATGGGGTAGTGGATAAGAGCAAAGTCTGTGACTCAAAGAAATAAGTATGGAAATTAGAGGTTGTAATTTTGTATGTGATCTACTATGGTGAGACTAGGATGTATCTGATCAATTTAACCATAATAACAATTTTAAGCTTTCTTTCTTTCTTATTTGTATTTATTTACTTTTTCTAGAGCTCATCAACTGGTCATGGAAGGATTCAATTGGGATCATGTAAGATATTTATTGAGTTTTTTTAGTATGGTTTTGCACAGTCTATTCATTTGGGCTTTCTTTTCAGGTTTGTTTTAGGATTGGGAGTCAAGGGCTTCTGGTGATCCTTCTCTCTCTCTTTTCACATCCCAGGAACACAATGAGGTTACCATAGTCATTACTCCCAATTACTTCTATTACTGTGGTGAATATATTATATCCTTCAATTTGTATTATATTATTGCATTTATTTCTTGCTAATTAGACAAATTAGCAAGAAATAAACAGTATATCTCTTCTTAACATCCACATTCTCTCAGTTTCTTAGATACATTGTCTTACTCAGATGTTTATGATGTGATGTAGCTCATTGAGTTTACAACTCTGGTGCTGGAATACAGCAGAATTCCTCTGAATCCTGCCCAGCAATATGGGAATTAGAGTCTATGATGGTTGTCACTACCTCTCCTATGTCAACACAATGAGTTAACCCAGTTTGTGCCAATATATATATATATATATATATATACACACACACACACACACACACACACACACAGTGTCTTCT